ATACTTTTAAATTGTATATATCTATTATGGTCTGATCTACTTGTGGGTTTTAGTTGAGTACCTTGGCATAGTTTTTGAATGTATTTAGTTTATGGTCAACTGTTGTTAGCACTTTTGAATTTTCTTTGCAGTCTTGTTGTGGTGTAAATGTTTGTATTTTGTGGTGGAGTATTCCTTATACTCTTAGAATAATATAAGTGCTCTTTGATTTTGCTGATCAAAAAAAAAAAAAAAAAACCTTGTTAATCAATGGCCAAAAAAAATAAAATTTGTTTTTATTCTTTATAAATATTGGGTTTCTTTCTTTTACCTTTGGTTTACTGCATTGTATGTAATTAAAAGTAATTATGATGATGATGATTATGATGATGATGATGATGATGATAATAATAACCACAAAATAATAATAATAATAATTGAGAGGAAGATAAGAAATCAAAGAAAATAAAAAAGTTAAATTAAATTATTAATCACATTTATTATGTTTTCATGTAAAAATAATATTTATTTTTTTATTGTTTATAATTTTTTTAATAATTAAAACAAAATGACAAAATTAGTTTTAATTAATGCTAAGGTTACATTTTATTATATAATATATATAGATGGACAGTGATTGGTACACACTCCAATTCAACATACTATATGACACACTCATTAAAAAATCACTGTTTTTTTGTCTGAAATTAAAGGCAAACAAGTTTAATGATATAATCATACACATAGGGCACAGGAACCGGTTGAATTGACTGTATTTATATTATACTTTTAATAACTAAACCGAGAGTGTGTCAAAAAATGCGTTGAACTGAGGGTGTACCAATCATTTTCATATACAGATAGATATAAATAGATAAATATATAGATATAGACATAGATATGAATAGATAGATACATTTAAAATTCTACAGTTTTAATTGAATGACAAAATTTAATTCCAAATTATTGCTTTGGGAACATTTTATATAATATATAGATATAGATAGATATAGTTTTTATACTTGAAATTGAAATGGAAGAATGTGAACTCTTATTTCAATAAATAGGACTTTCATTCTTAATTTCTCTTGTTATGTTAAACCCTTATGTCTCCCTCAATTTTTTTT